TATCCCATACTGAAGCTGACCTGGAGTGTCTTTGCAAACACTTCTTTTCATAAAGAAAAGCATTTGTAGAAACAAAGTGTGAAGGGGAAGAATGACATGGTTTGGGAAGTCTTCTGAAAGAGTCAGCATGGGGACAAGGGACATTGTTTCTGGAAAGGATCTGAATTTGTTTCTACAAAGGCTCCTGTAGAAATTTTGTTGTTATAGGTTTGAAGGGAAGAGCATCATGTATAGAAATGCAAGAAAGAAAGGGCAGGAATCTATCTATATTATCTGTATCTATATAATCTATATCTCTATCTCTATCATCTATATCTATATCTATATCTATATCTATATCTATATCTATATCTATACCTATACCTATACCTATATACACACACACATATATAGTTTGTTTTCTCAATGGAAAGACGCTACCAGTAGATCTGGGCTGTTTTATGTAGACCTTAGTGATCTATAAAAGGGAATGAAAGGCAAGCTGACAGATATGTAGTGACACTAAGGTAACTCAGGATAGAAAAAATAAAAGCTGCTTGCAAAGAGCTGTATTTTCTCACAATACTAAGTGACCAGGCACTAACATGGCACATGAAAACACATGATACAAAGGTAACACAACGGGGAAGTAAAGCAATCTTAACTCTTCGTGCAGAGTTATGAGCTGTGGGTATTTTAATTCACAAAAGAAATGTTGGAATTACACTAGCTAACTTCCTGATAACTTCATCTTAGTTCCCAGTAGTGCTCAAGGAAAGGAAACAAAAAATGTTTGAAATTACTGATAAAATAAAAGAAAATAAAATAATACAGGATGCTGCTATAAAAATCCATTTGTGTGGTCACACCTTGAGCACTGGGGTAAGCTTTGATCGTGCCATCATGAAAATGCTGCATCGTTACTGCTTAGCACATCGTAAGACCCCTGCGGTACACGTGCCAGCTGTCTGCTGAGCAGAATTCAACACTGCAATAAGGATGAGCCCCATCTTCTTGAGGACACTTAACTCTTCTACAGCACTCATCATCCAGGGATCTCAAAGCATTTTGCAGAGGAAGATAAGTATCATTAAGCTTGCTTTATAGCTGGGGAAAATGAGACCTAGAGCAGCAATCTAACTTGTTCAAAAGTAAATAGCTGATGAAGACGGATACAGAAGTGAACTCCAGCTCTTCCTATCAGCTCACATACCCACTTAACTGCCAGCAGTTAATTGATTGGGGTGAATTATTTTCAACAAGTCCCAAAAAGCAGAGGTTAGAAAAATGTTCAGCTATGAAGCACAAGGGAAAAAATAATCTATTAAAACTGAATATAAGGTTTGAATAAAAACCAAATGTTTGATCTGCCCATTTGAATAACTGAAAATTCAATACAATTTTAGCTCTGAGAAATATTGCAGAGCAGTTCATGTCTGGGCTCAGTTCACAACAGTAGTTACTGCGAAGAAAAGCAGCTCAGTTAACTGCGTCCGGTGCCTGTTTTCTGCAGTTCGTCCTCTGTTCTTGCTGTGTTTTCATGATTCATCAGTTCTTTGACAGGAATTACTTTAAAAATGCACATAAAAACGTGTTTTTCTCAATAAAATCAAGCTGAAATTCAGTTCCCTGGCATGTGTTTCCAACCCTTTGCCCTTTCTTTACCGTCAGAGAGGGATGTGTGATTAAAACTTGGTTATGCCACTCCGAGGAGAGATACAAGGATTAAAAAAATAATCACTAATATGAAGAGAAAATACCTCAGAGTGTATTTTTCTAGTGCTATCAGAAAGTGAATTTCAAAGCATTCGATGTACTGAAGAGTTGTATCTCTCCTGGGATATATTCCAGCCAAAATCCAATCAGGAATGAAACAAAGAAGGATGATTTACCTACATTTTCTCCCTCACACTTTCTGTCAATAAAAATACAGGTTTCTCACCCCATACTCAGCATCACCATTTAGATCCAGCTCCCTTTGCCTCTGAAATTGTTTCTGAAATTGTCTCTGAAATTGTTTCCCTGATTTCAGCCCAAGTCAGTGTTCAAGTTTCTTCTAAAGAGAAGTAGGAAAGCAATCAAACAAATCTCTCCTGCATTGTTCAAAGACTTTGCACTCTGAGATATAACAGTGAATAATATCTTTAAAGATGGACTTGAGGACTGCTATCATGATTCAAAGGGCTTTATTTTTGGCTGTCTGCATTTCCAAGTGAGACTCAGAACTCCTGCATGACCTGTTTCTTGGTGTTACGCTATCTTGTGCCGCAGCAGTTCAATGCATAGAGGCAAGGAAATGAGAAATCAAAGCCAGTGGAAATAATTTTTGACAGACAAAATCCTCTTATCTTTTAGAGAGACTTGGTATCCTGAGAAGCAGGTTTCATCTCTCTGGAACTAAGAATATTTACCAACAAGAGCACTCTAATCACATTGCCTCTGATTGGTGTAACGATGCCTCTAGAGCACACAGGGATGATACCTTTGTCTAACAGGTAACCAAAACTCAGCTGAGCTCTACACTGGGCACCTGGCTTTTCACTAACTGTGGTAGATGAAACCAATTTTAACTGCCACAGGCTGAGTGCTTGCATGTGGTCGGGACCTGTAATTTGATCAAGTTTTTTGACTTCTAGTCTTTTCTTCTGGTGATATTCATGTTTCTTGACCCTTCCAACAGTACACAGCATTGTCCTGTAAGTTCTTTCATAAAACATGAACTTCAGTTGAACAATTTTTCATTAAGTTCAAATCCAACTCATTAAGTGCGACTGAAAGAGGTCACATTTACACTATTTTTGAAATCTTTGTGTCTTCCTTTTCTGGTGACCACAGTTCACCAGACAGAAAAAGAAAGCTGCATGTTGTCCCCATCTATGTTAAGGCATAGCAGATGCCATACTTCAGTGCTCTTAATCTAGCATTTCTCTCATGGCACCCTTGAAAGAGGCAGTAACTCCAGTAATAAGTGATGCCTGAATCATTATATACTTGAGTCATTATATACATTATATATTTTATTTTATTCAGTATTTTACTTTATTCATGTAAGGATCAAAAAAAGAGCCTGTCAAGTTGCTTTAACGCACTGAGGAGTTGTGCATTTTAATTATAAGCACAAGACACAACTGTCATTTAAAAAATAATAATGGAGGTGGCACACTCTAGCAAACAGTACTGCACTGGAACAGGAATTTTCAAATTTGACTCTTAGGCTATATTTCCAGAGAGCTCTTTCCTCACCCAGCAGTGCTTTCTGATGGGAGTAACCATAAGGAGAGGAGAGGAAGGGCTTGCCCTTATGTTACTTCTCTAAACTGTATCAGCTGCTTTCACCCCACAGTGCAATCAGTGCTTTTATTTCATTAGTGTTTTAATTACAGCTCAAGTGCAGGCCAATGTAGAAAGGTTCAGCATACAATGCCAGCTGAGGGCAGTACAGTTATTGGCTCAGTTTAGAGGGGTCTCAAGGCTGCTCTAAATTAGAGGCAGACATAATGACCTGTATATAAAGAGGCAGCCTCCAACTGTACCTCCATTTTCTGTACCTCTTTGGGATCTTTATAAATAAAATGCTCTTCTGAGATGAGCAAAGCTATTTTCATGACTCTAAGCTACCTATGGTATCTGCCAGAAATGCTATCCAAGGATTTTATGGATCTTGTTGACTAAAGGAGTTATGGTAGATTCACAGACTTCTAGGCCATGATGTGAAAACGAAATACTCCAAGTGTTCGAAACTTGCTACCTTGTGGTGTGTAAATAGGATTTGTTTGTGAGTTAGTCTCTGTAGCAGTGAGTCAATTTACTATAAGGTTGTCTGTGTTTTTGGGATGACTCCCTTTGTGACACACAATTATATTGTGTGCATCACATCAATTTTATTTCTTTCCTTAGAACATAAAGAAAATAGGTTTTACATAAAAAATACTCCTCCTACATTTTTTTCTCTTTTCAACTACACACAATATGGTCTTTTAACTGTGTCTTAACAATTAACACAGAAATTAACTCTCCTGATTTCAGGTTAGGAAACATTCAGACTAGCAGCTGCCTTCCTAGGGAACAAAGAAGCTTTTTTCCCTGCTGAATCACAGGCAAGGCACAGCACTGACAAGGTGAGAACATGAGGCTTCTTAGCCTTGAAAAAGCTGGCAGTGGGGGCTGCCTATTTGGGAACATCTGCGCCTCCTCCATGGGTGCTGGAGTGGTTTAAGGGACAGTTGTTCCCAGTCTTGGTTCCCCAGGAGAGGGGACCCCACTGAGTCCTGTGTATTCTCTGTTAGGACATCCGTGCTCTTCCTTGGTGGCTTTTACCACAAAAAGGTGGAAGAGCAGAATTGGGTTTTTCAGCATTATCCTTTCTAATAGCATTGATCTTTTCCATCCGCACCCAGTGTTTTCTGGGAAAGCATCCTTGCATTTTAGTTTAGCTCAAAATCATTTATGAATGAGCTTCTTTCTTCCTCTGCCTGCTATTGCTTGGCACAGGGTAAACAGATAAACAGGCTGTTAACAGCACACAGCACTGAAAGGGAAACCTAACAACAGGAAAGCTAACAAACAATCACACAGCAATGATGGGGATGAGTAAGATGTAGATGACTGTACAAGAAGATGCAAACCCTTACCACGATTACTACATTTCACTAATCAATGTGCATAGTGCAATTGCCCTAGTTCTCAAGAGCCTCAAGTGGATGAGCAGATATCGCAATGTACCTCCTGGCTTTAAACATTTTTCCTTCTCCTATCTCAAAATGTTGCACAAAGGAAGGCAAACAGCATTACAGAGGGAGGAGAAAAGAATGGCCTAAGGTCAAGGAAACAGCCAAAACCAGATCACTGCAATTCTGACTTGCAGTGTTAGCTACAGTGGCAGCTTCAGAGAACAGCTGAAGATGTTTGACCTTGTTTGTGTTTTATTTTCACATAAAAGTAGATGTGGAACATCACAGAAGCTTATCAAATTATCCCTCAGTGGGAGATGGCGGTGTCCTCCCACCCACATACATGCTTACCAGAAGAACAAGAATCACTGGCCCTTGATAGATGTAATCGATATATTTCCCTGGCTCTTTTCCAAACCAGCATCTGTAAGAAACAAAACAAGAAAACACATTATAAAGGGGAATGCACTTCTTTTAGATTTTAATATTAAAGGCACCATAGAGAGATGTCCTTTTATTCCCTGAGTCGTTTAATCATGTACATAATCAGCAAGTGATTGAGTTTTCTGCTACAAAGCCACATCTTATTTGGACACAGATCTGAGTCTCATTTTCCCCTCTCATTAGACCAGTTATGATCCCACTATGTTTTTGGCTATTACCCATGTAAATATTTCCAAGAAATGTGAGAACCTGCTACAAGGATGATAGCAGAAGATGTGTCCCACTGGGTCTGAAAAAAGGATGAAATAAATATTCTTTGTGAGGAAAAATATCTATTCTCTAGTGCAGTGTCCAACAACACTTCAATTCTTATAGCCCTAGTAAGGGCTGTTATTTACAGTAAATATGTCTCAAGCTGTGTGGAAATGCTGTCTAAATAAGATACTGGATGAATAAGGAGTTTATCCCATTGACTTAGAACCAAGCTGGTGACCACCAAATCCAGCACACAGTACAGTACATCATTTGAAAGTAGCAAATATCTGATCCAACATCAGCAAAAGGAAATCAACTTAGGCTAAATGAAAGCAGAGGTAAAGTGAGGGGCCTAAAACTAGCAGACAGCCTGGATATATCAAGAGTGACTGAGTGCTGGCTTGACTTTAACTTCCACTATTACAAGCGTTTTTCTCCCTGCTGTGCCATACAACAGACTAAGCCTGTGATTTCAGTGACACATACTGGTGTTCACTTCATCCACTTAACTAAGCATAAGAAATCAGTTATGTCAGTAAAAGAATAAGAAGCCAGGCTTAGGCCTGAACTCAATCATTTACACCATTTGGCCTAGGCCAAACAATAGCCAACTCCCAAACTATTCCTGGGGAACAAATCTGGAGCTAGCACGAGCCAGAGGACATTCCCAACAGTCTACGAACTGCAGCTACCCTGATTTGGAGACCACAAGGGTTTAATAATAAGGATGTGAACTATTCCATGTGATCTGGACTCCAGTCCCAGCAACAATTCCAGGCCCAGCTAATTTAATATTAAAGACACAGCCACATGGTCTGGGTCCTGGTTTCACCAAGCAGAGGCAACTTTGCTATCATAATGCCTTAATGTTTAGGTCACTGGAGCTCCAGACACCTTAGGAAGTAGATTTTGGAGTTCTGAGAGGTTTTTTCCCCTTTGTGGATACCACATAAAAGTCTACAGAGCAAAAAATATGTCTTTCCAGTGTTTGCCTTGTGACAAAAGATAACCTTAGTGGAGACTTGAAAGCAAGGGTAATTCCTGAGCCAAGGAGCACATGAAGATGAGTGCAGACTGATGCTTTTACAAGCATTCAAGAAATAATACTTGTTGCCTCAAAGAGGTTGCAGTCTGTAAGGCACAGCCGCACAAGTCCAAAGCAAACAGAGATAAGGAAAGCTATGGTTCAGATGGAATTATTTTGAATCACATAATGTCCCCAAAACCTTTTTTCAAAACGTGTTGCTTGCTAAAACAAAAGGATGTGTTTGCCCATTGCAAAATGCTCTTACCGAACTGAATGTACAGAAATATTGAGATATGCAGCAGATATCTAGGAACACAATGCAGTATCACACAATTGTTTGCCTTCTCTTGTTTCAATTTCTACGTCTTTTAAGTTCCAAATAAATTAGAGAGCTTTAAATATTTTATAAATCTAAAACATGTCTGTTATTCCCTGGTGCACTAACTGCAAATGAGTGTAAAATGATATTTTTGCAACTAATCTTCCAAAATTTGGTGATGAGAGCGAGACTTGAAATAAGGAACTTCCTGCAGCCAAGTTATCATGCAAGAAGGATCCCCAGGGCAGCCTTAAATGAAGGAAACTGATCATTTTTTTTTTTTTACAGAAATAGATATGAAGAAAAATGAATGGCAAGATATACCAAGGAAGGAAATGCAACTCTCCAGAACCTGCAAGACCTACGTTTGAGAGAGGTTTTTGAAGAATATTTTTTGAGAAATATTATATATTGCCTGAAACTCAGAGAACCAAGAGCTATTAAAGAGGAGTTTCTGGGAAGCTGGTTGTTCCAGCAGAGGAATCTAGCAGAGGGATTAAGAAATAGGCTGGGGCATGTGGCAGAACTTAGTGGACCAGAAAAAGTAATCACAGAATATGGAACAGAGCTCGTAGAGCACAAGTGAGGTTCCAGGGCAAAAGCTGCTCATTGGTCTTTGGAAATTAAATATTGCTTAATTAAGACCATATGGAAGAGCGAAATGCTGACATTTACGGTCTCAAGTCCAGTACTAGACCTAAGTTGCATTGAGTGAAGCATCACATGTATACACACACTTTCACACAATTTAGGGGAACAAGGTTGTGACCAAAGGTAAACTTCTACAACACAGGCATCTCCATTGGAGCTCGATGCTCCAGGAGTTAGTGGAGACTAAAAAACCCAGCTTTTCTAGGACAATGCTAGGCTATAAATCAGATCAGATACATTGCAATCTAAACATATCCAATATACCCATTAAATCAGGTGAGTAAGGGTGAGGGGACAGCTATAGCAGTGACATTACGTATGTCCGCATTTGGTTAGCTATATTGTGTATTTACAGTTTAACTGCTCAAACTGGGACCTAAGTTGATATATTGAAAAATATTCTGCCTGCCAGCCCTTACATTAAATCCAACATAAGCCAGTATTTCTCCAATGAAATAATCACTGCACATTTCTTTAAAACCAAAAAGAGAAACCTAAACCCCTGAAAATTACTCAATGCATCAGAATTTTAATTCCATCTGAGTGAAATAAAAGCAATTTTCTTTTTTTTTCTTTTTTTTTCTTTTTTTTTTTTTACCACTGAAAGAATAAACAAACACTCCCCGAATATTGGAGAGGATGGTTTAGGAAGACAGTTCTGATTAGACTCAGATATGTAAACACACTTTCAGTGAATAGCACTAATTAATATTCTTCATGCTTCTCTGATAGTTCTTTGTATAACAAAAACCAACACTGGTTTTATCTTTACTGTTAATTAGATATTACCAATGTTCTTCCCCTTACCAACTGTCCATCAATGAAACTATTACAATAACTCTTAATCATTTATGTGGTTCATTTATTGAGATTTAATAGTACTTTTTTCAGAGTTGTCAGATTTTGCTAAAGAACTGCTAAACCCCAGATAGGATATTTGCCACAGAACCAATTATATATGCCTCAATATCAGAACATGGTCTCTGATAACAACAAAAATGAAGAAAATAGGAAGCTGGTTGAAGCATTTTCTCGCCATTATTCCTGTGTGCTATTTTGAGTTTTAAAACCATTATGAGCTACATAACTTGAACTCCAGTTCAACCTCCAAACAACTTAAGTTACAGTTCAAATGCATACTCTGGTGAAGAGGAGTTTCCCATTTTGTTCTGAATTTTGGGCTGTCTGCTGGGATATCCAAGCAGTCTTGGAAGCTGCAGGAGAGTACATGTTTCCTCATGTTCACACAGAATTTCATGTGTTTCAGTGATATCTGCAGTGAGTGATGCTGCCCCTTGTCCTATCACTGGGCACCACTGAGGAGTGTCTTGCTCCAGCTTCTTCATACCCTCCTATCAGATGTTTATAAGCACTGATAAGAACCTTTTGAAATCCCCCTAAACACTCCCTATCCTCTCAGCCTCTCCGTGCATAAGAGATGCTCCAGTATCCTGACAGCAATTATTTCTCAAAGCCAAGGATTACTTTTATCTCAACTGTCTACATTTGCACACACTTACAGAATTCAAATTAAAGGCGTCATTTCTGTGTCATCCCAGCACAGAGAAAGGATTTTGTAAGTGCCACAAAGTTTAGTGTAAACTGTCCCAGTGGCTGATGGACTGGAGAGGAGAATAGCCCATAAGAAAGTTAAATACACACATGGCTATGATGTGCAGTGAAGATGTATGTGAACATTTCCCTGCAAGCCAAACACCAGCATTAAAGGCAGAAAGGTGAAAACATTCAAAGGCATCTATTTAGTTGCCTGGGTCAATGCAGAGTAACCTGGCATGTCTCTTATCAGTAACTGTGTGAGGCAAATGATGTCTATGATTTATATGGGTTTGTTCTTGACATGGATTTAAAAGCACAAGCTCAATTTGATAATCCACCCAAGGCAGAGAGCCTGAGGCTAGAAACTCAACAGGAACAGCCTGGATATTCTGCATACCACATCCAAATGCTAACCCAGCAGATGATGTGGCATGTTTCTGTCAGGGGTCCTACTTTCCATTATTTCTTTTGGGAGTGATGAGCAGTCTTCCAAAATGAGGTGTGCAAAGCTTGGTGTTGAACTCCCTCACAACAGGAATGTTTAATGAACATCACCATTATTAAAGCATGTGGTGCTTTGCCTCTCCAGGTTTCAAGACACAAGTTTTGATTATTTAGTTTTGTGCCGTTTAAGCTGTTATTTCAAGTCTAGTTTTAGAGCTGAAAGTCCCACTTCAGCACAATGAGACAGCTGCCAGGTTGTCCTGACTTGTTCAAGGCACAAACTACAAGCAACCTGACCATGAAGCAGACCCAGAATGTTGTGATCCTTTACCCATCCAGAAACAAGGTCTGTAAGCACAGAAATTAGGGAAATCTGATGATCTGAGGTGATGTCCCAGGCCTGATAGACTTGGACACCCAAGGAACAGGAACCTCTAACTGAAGTTTTTGTGGCCATTTTGAGACTACAGTACGAATTCTCCGGTATGATCACTGCAGGCAGGGATGGGATAACACTTTTCCTTCAGTGAAGGGGTGTCTGTCTCATTGCCGATGTGTGTAACTCCTGGAAATGAGATTATTGCCTTCAAAGTCACCATTAAAGCTACAGAAGAGATTGGGTTCAACAGTTTGTAGAGAGCAGAGAAGAGGAACTTAGTAATGCGTAACAGAAATCTCCCCATGCCTACAGCATGCATGCCCAAAGCTCAGCCAGTCATCCTATCCATCTCACTTATAGAAAGAAGAAATAGTGCATATAAGTCTAATTTATCCAATGTACTTTGTACATCTCATCCTTCCAGATGAGATGAAATGCACCCCAGACTGCGTTTACTATTTTGACTGGTCACAGCTGATCATAAGAGACCACAGAGTAGTGCAGATGGTGACACCTACAAGGTAGAGACTTACACTTAGTCAGATGCACTATAGACAAACTGTGGTCATACAACAAACAGATCCATGGAGAAAAGAATTAGCTTAAGGTTAGGGAAAGGAGCTGTAACAGACAACACTAGTTGAAAAGTACAAGCTGAGCTATATCTGCCCAGTATTGATATCAGGGGGAAAATTCCCAAACTACTCTTTTATCTCCCTTATTTTTCAATTTCATGGACTAACTGCTTCCAGTTGGAAAGGCCAGAAACAGAAATGCCAAATTTCCAGCCATAAGATTATTCTTGGCAGACCATCAACTGAATTCTGCACACCCAGAAGGAGAAATCCTTAACGACTCAACTGTAGTTTCTACCAAGGTCTTACTCAAGCAAAACTCTCATTGAAGGAGATTACCCTGACTGCAAATCATGTATAAAGCTACCAAAGGAGAGCTTTGGGGCTTGGACAAGGATATTTGGGAAAGGTATTTTCAGGAGTTGACTCCAGTAGTGCTCTCAAATTTGAAATGGTCTGGACTTAGATGGAGGTGATCTGACCTTTCTTCTTTCGCATCAGTCAGCCTCATCTCTAAATTACCAGTTTAGCCTATCAGCATTTCTCTATTTGTTTTAGAGAGCCACATAAACACAAATGTTAACATCACTTACTGTTCATTTTCATAATAAAGCTTGCCAATGGCCCAGGCGATGATGATTGGGCAAGGAATACCTGTAGGAGCAAAAAATCAGGAGTTAAACACAACCCATGTGCACATGAATACTACCAACGTAGATTCTGATCTGTGTGAGGAGTGTCTTGGTTAAGGACCTGGAAAACTCTAAATACAAGTGGTTCTATCTTGGTATCCTTGAGACATCACAAATGTTATGACCTCTATATGTAAAAATAAAAACTCCCACTGTTTTCAGTATGAATCCAAAACACATACAAGCTACTATGAAGTAAATTAACTCTACCCCAACCAAAACCAGCACAGCGATCAGAAGAATTTTGGCTGATTTAAAGGCAATTTTGGTCCCTTTTCATTTTCCTGTAGTTGGAAAGCACTGGAAGTGACACGACTTAAGCCCTCAGGTAGGAGTCAGCATGGCCTTGTATCTAACGCACCTTTTAACTTCCCATTTCTTGCCTCTTCTGTGGAAACCGGAGGCTTTAAAGGGATGCAGCAGTGTGGAAAGAGAACCACAACACAGCAGGGGCTCTGGGAGAGCTGTGTGAGCAGCTGATTTTCCAGTTTGGTGAGAAGATTGAGAAATATTGAAAAGAAAAATTGAATCAATTCCCCACATAAACATTTTCTTTCTTCTACAACTCCTCTTTCCTCCCATTCGATTCAGGATTGAATGACATATTTTGTTTTAAAGGCTGTTTCTTCCGTCAGAACTGCAATTCAATTACACCTGCTCAATTCTGAGAGGAAAAGGCATTTCCGATCAAAATGTCATTCTACTTTCAGAAAAGAAAATATTTGTGACTTTTTTTCTACCTGTCTTCCTTCAATAGAAAAGAAATGCCAAATTCACTAGTTCTGCTTGACCTCAGATTTCACATTCAAGCGAACAAGCTGACCACATGAGGCTTGTCTTGCCAAACCTCTCCAGGTCAAGTTCAATACATGGATATGTTGGTTGGAGAGGACCTCTGAGGGTATCCGTTTCAATCTCCTGCTCAAAGCAGAACTATCAACACTATCCCACCTCAGCCAGGGTTTAGCCTTGATGAATTTTCAATATCTCCAGGGTCAGAGATTACACAGCTTCTAAGTCATCTGTTCCAGTGCTGCACTCCCTTTTGGTAAATCATCTGTTTTCTTAATGCTCAACTGGAACCTCACGGTCTGCAATTTGTGGCCATTGCCTCTTCTTATAACATCTGCTATTACCAAGAAGAATTTGGCTCCATCACCTTTGTAATCATCTTTCAAATCATTCTTGGTACCTAATAGATCCCTCCTTAGCTTCCTCTCTGCCAGATCAAACAAGTTCAGGTCCTTCAGCCACACCTCACAGGCCATGTCCTTAGATCCCTGATCATATCGACAGCCTTCTAGTGGATAATACACAGGTTTTCCACATCTCTTTTGACCTGAGAGACTCCAAACTGACCACTGATGGCTTATACTCAGCCTGCATCCACTGCAAGTCCTAAATTCTTTTCAGGAGGACTCTGACAGTCGGTTCCCAACCTGGACTGATGGACCAGCTCATGTTGATGCAGCTGGGGAAAAGGAGCAGCCTGTGGCCCAGGCTGACACAGTAGAAGTGAGGTAACAGGGCATGCAATGAGCTGTTTTTCTGCCTTTGAGTATCCACAAGAATGGTGTAAAGATGCCATGTGACTGATGGTTTCTAGGACAAATCCCTCAGCAGTCCAAAAGACTGCTGTAAGGTTGGACTGGCAGATAATTAGGCCTCTCTTCTAATCAGCTGCTCACTTAGAAGTGTCTCTTGAGCCTGAGTGGTCCACAGGGCATGGACAGTGCCTTTCCTGTTTCACACTGTGTTGAGCAGCGGTGTATAAGGGACTGTGATCACTGCTATGCCAATCAAAGTGAAAGGGATGCAGTATGAACTGCTGCATTCCCAAAATGCTGAGCCTGGGAGTTCTCTTTCTTTCCTTAACACCAGGTGCCTGAGGATTTAAATGAAGAAGATAAATCCAGCAATAACCTATAAGCTTTATGTTATCACCACAGTGAAGAACTAAACCTGAACTCATGATGCTCTGTCAAAACTAGGTCTGAATGTCAGATTTCACCACAGTGGGATTTTTAAAGTTATTCTTGCTGCTCTCGTCTTTATCTCTCTAATGCCAGGTACCACGTAACACCATTTTAAATACATAAGTCACTTACACCATCCTATGAAGAGAAAGACCCATTTCCGCAGCTTATCTGTGGAGTAAGTCATCACTATAGCTGTGTGTAAGTAGCAGCCTTCCACAAACATCCAGAAGAAGTTGGTCACCACAAAATAATTGTAGACAGTGGTAATACATCGACACCAGGGCTGCGAAGGAAACAGAAAAGAACATTTTAAAATCATTATGAGAATGTTTAAAAGATTCTATATGTTGTTCTTCCTTTAAAAAATCAATGGTAGAATACATTCATGGGATAGAGATTTATACCTGTACTTGCAATCCCAAAATTTTAGGTGCTGTTGGGAATTCATAGCTACGTCTGTGACTTTCTGTTGAGGTTTGGCTTTGACCACAATATGGAGGATCTCCCATACCTGAGCATGTCTGGAAAGTCAACGTGTGGCATATCCACACCAGCAGTCTGCAAGCAGTCTGAGAAGCAGCCGTGTGGAAGGAAGACAAGAAGAGGCAGGTCACTGGACTGCAGGTGATCTTCAGAGAGGAGCAGCCACAGCCTGGGGTCATACCCAAGGATGACTTTATAGAAGTCTAAGCATATCTTAGGCAGCATAACCCACCTTCTGAGCCATTCAAAGGAAACAGGAGATAGAAGTTAATGTCAAAGTCTTGCTTCATTTCCACTGAAGGGAATGAGCACCACTGACATTTAGAAAAAAGATATTTGACTTTAAAGATACGCTTTTATCAGTTACTTCATCTTCTCTATTCCTGCCGTTAGTGCTTCAGCATTTAAGCCATTTTGCTGTAACTTCAATGGGAAATTCTGGCCAGGCTCAGTGTATCAGTAAAGGCATCTTCTCCTGGTGGCTGTGTCGTGGGAGCACAGCTGTGGATTGCACAATTAGCTACAGAGCGGCAGATGGTAACATCCCATCACTAAATCACAAGTAACTGCTGATGGTAATTTCCATAGTGCTACACACAGAAGACTGGGAAAACGTCTTTCTGACCAAGCAGGCATTCAGCGTATTCCCTGAAGCATGACATTAATTACTTATGTTAGCTGCTATCACTGATGTCACTTTGGTCTCGCCATTCTCCAGCCTTTTAATTAACTCTACTAAAGTATTTGAAACTTTGGGCCCTCAGTTAATTTTATTTCAGACTTCATCTGCATGAGGTATTGAGGATCTCCAGACAGCCAACAGAGCAGCAGATGCACTATCAAACCCAGCAAAATTCTGTGAATATATTGGACGAGAAACACAGTTACAAAATGATAGCCCGTTCACCAGTTGTGATCACTCCTGTTTATTGAGCTGAAACAAACACAATAAATCTTCTGGATGTGTGAAAGCTTTTATTTCTGTATTATTTCACTAGGATTTGAAATTTGGGTTGGTTTCATCTTTAAAACAGGATTAAAACCCAAAACAACTCAGAAGAAGATGAAACATTTTGTTTTCAAAGCTTTGTTTAAGTAGTTTTTTTTCTCATTCTGTCCTGAGCAAAAGAAACCACAAATAAACCCCAAACCACACCCTATTTTTGGCTAACACCAAACAACTATTTTGGCTCTATTTGTGATGGACCCCCAGAGTAGTAAGGCTAGGTTTCCAAAGACTCTAAGTCTCACAGTGGATTTTTTGAAGGTATGAACATGATCGTTCCCTGTGGCCTCAGCCTCATGTGAATTCTGATATAACGTCCAGGCTCTTGTTCCCCTCTCTCTCAGTTGCAACACTTACACTGGTTTTGTCCCCTCCACAGCTGCCCATTTTCACAAGGCCTATAAAAAATAATTATAGCTGAGCCTGTTTTTCCTGTGTCAGAACCGAGTGGAATTGGCCAGCGGATGGGGAAGATACTGTGACAGGTACAGACAAATACACATGATGGTGGTGAGATCTCCCTCTGCATCGTTTCCATAGGAAACCAGAGTAAAATGAATTCTGAGCAATTCCTTTTGGAACTGTGGGTTTATTATTACTAAATAATAAACCTAATTAGCAGTCCTCATTAATTTATACCATTTAATTTATTTGACTGAGGATTCTTGATCCCCTCATGTATCCACCATTAGGCTCCAGATTTCTTCAGCAATTCCCCTTCTTGATTTATTAACATAAGCACTATAACTTCATGCAAAATGTTTCGACATTCAGTCCTTGATGCTCCTGTAACCGTGTTATTACTGATCAGCAGAAGACATCACATCATTAGCTGGCATAAATGATGTTGCTCCCATTGATTTTAGTGGTGTTATTTTGACTCTGACTTATACCACAATAAGAACATAATGAAGTTATCACTTAGCCTGTATAAAGCATCTTTCCAAAAAGACTGCAGTGTTTTGCAGAGAAATGATGAGTTACTGAAAACTGATACATGTGAGGAGCCGTCCTTAGATTTGCAGTTTTATATTTTCATTGGCACTTTGTTGTCACACTTTAAAAGGCATTTGAGTCCCTGACTCCAGCTGATTTTTTCTAAATAAATGTAAAATTTGTATTAAGATTTGCAGTATTTTAATGAGGGTAAAACACTCAGCAAAGAAATGTCAACAATAAAGCTCTTCTACCACCACCTTCAGCACTCCAAAAATGTCAGGAACACAGACAAAGCAAACAGTGAATTAACAGAAGCTACATCTTCTCAAAGGAGCAGCTGATTGAATAATAATACGGCGTTATGCATAGATGACTTCTTTATCTATGTTCAGATGACTTTTCTATTTGTTTTCCCAAATTATGGGATTAAAGTTCAGATGTAAAATCCTACATCTGAAAAGTTAATGAAGGATGATGAGTGCCCAGCTGGCATTAAAATGAATGGATAACCAGGCTCCTGGGGTGGTTTTCAGTATCTACAGTTCCTACATGAGTGGAGTCACATTGACTGATACCAGCTATAGCTATAATCTATAGGTACTTTAGTCCACCTGCTTTCCAAAGAGAGAAAATATAATGGGGACATGGTGTGTGTGTGTGTATCCATGTGTGCTTGTAACACACTTTTTTCCCTAATTATGGAGGTAAATATCAGGGGACAGCCCTAAAAGGAGAGTACTTCACTATAAGAATATTAAAAGGGAAAGAAAAAAAAAGAGAAAAGTAAAAAAAAACTTGACAAAGGACTACAAAAAAAAGGACTATGTATCAAGGAAATGTAAAATTATTCCTCAAGAAAATAAAGAAGAATGCTTTTTCTTTTGGAGTGGATACTTTCAATCTGAAATTCTTGTATTATTGGGACTGCTGGGTACCTAAATTCTGGGGGCATTACAGTACTTACATAGTGACTGATTCAATGGCTTCACTCAGTCAAGCACTTGCAGCTAGGAGCTACTTAAGTGAACAAGAAATAACAGGAAGAGTAAGAGAAATGGGAGCATGGTGACATGCTGCATTTCTCAAGAGTGCTCAATGCCATGCAGAGAAGATACCCCACTTCTTGCTTCCTTCAGCCTTCCCATTTTCCATCGCGTAGATCTCTCTGCTCTCTTGAACTGTCTCTGACTCAATCACCCATCAGAAAGCTGACTTAGAAAGCTACACCAGCAGGAAACTCCTTGCTTTTTTAGTTGGCTGGGTTAGTTCTCCACAATTTCAGTGGGTTCAGTGTCCAAGGGTTCAGTCCCCACCAAGGGATCAAGAAAAGGAACAGAGCAAAAGAAGCAGCAGGAGCTGGAGTGAAGCGTTTGGGTCCCTGGAGGAATGAGCCACCCCTGCCAGTGACAGGGAGCTGCTGCTGGATGCAGCCCATATCACAGAACTTCATCCTCAAGGCCAGCAGAGTGAAGAAGGGATGAGCAGAAAAACAGAATTTTGTGGAAAATCCCCAGAATATATCAACAAGCAAAACCTGTATTGTTTCAGGCTCTATTTCTTAATTTCTTGAGAGTCTCTAGGCTGTGAGGTATCCACAGAGTAGCAGACTCAGAGCCTCAACAGCCAAATCAAATATTTCTGTACCGTGTTCATGGAGATACTGCCCTCCGGAATCAATGCTTTCC